GCAGGAGCCCAGGACAGCTGCCAGGCAGGCGTTGAAGATCTCCAGAGAAGGAGACTCCACAGCCCCCTGGGCAGCCTGGGCCAGGGCTCGGGCACCCTCCAAGTCAAGAAGTTCTTCCTCACGTTCAACCGGAACCTCTTCTGCTTCAGGTTGTGCCCATGGCCCCTTGGCCTGGCGCTGGGCACCACTGGGAAGAGTCTGGCTCCGTCCTCGTGACCCCCACCCTTGAGATATTTGTACGTGTTGATGAGATCCCCTCTCAGCCTTCTCTTCTCCAGGCTGAAAAAGCCCAGCTCCCTCAGCCTTTCCTCGTGGGGGAGATGCTCCAGTCCCCCCCATCATCTTTGTTGCCCTCCCCTGGACTCTCTCTAGGAGTTCCTCATCTTTCTTGAACCAGGGAACCCAGAACCAGACCCAGTGCTCCAGGTGGGGTCTCAATCCCCAGGAACACAGGCAATATTTTGTGTGTGCTTAGGTTTATTTCCGAGGTGTGACATAATTAATATCGGAAACCACTGGAGATTCTCAATACTCTCAGAATCAAATTATATTGTGAGCATTCCTGAATACGCAGCGGCAGATGTCCAAAACAGCCTTAGGTTTTAGCTGACCCTCAAACTACATCTTAAAGCTGAATTTAGTGCTGAAAGGAGAGATTTATATTTTTAACGATCAGGATGAAAAGCTCAGAATAGTCAAAGTGTATGTTGAATTAATAGCTAAATTTGTGATTTACTGAGGTAGCTGTGTGGTTTTGTAGAAGGTATATAGAAGACACCCCAAATTTAACCCTATTAGCAAAAAAAGCCTTTCCTATTTGAAAAGAAGAAGCGAGCTGTGAATTGAGATTTCCGAGTAGCAGACTAAACCACAGTCTAATAGCATTAATAACTCCATGGCTGCATCCCAGAATATGCAATTCTTACTGGTGTCCCATTTGCTCATCTCCCATGTTTTAGTTCTGCCCTTCTTCTGGCATGTCTACAGCTACATGGAACAGGCTCCTCTTGGCCGTTCAAAACTACTGAGACCTCCTGCTTCAATCAAAGACCATTCCCAAGTGTTAACGGACTTAAAGGATTCCCAAGTGTTCTGCAGCCCCTATTTCACTTGCACATCCAATAGATAAAAGCAACCTTTTAGACATCAAAGTGTCGAAAATATCATCAAAGTGACATCAAAAAGCAGACAGATTCCCAGTGAATATCTGGAATCATAAGCAGTTGGGGATACTCAAAACTTTCGGCTCAGTTTGATCCACACATTTGAGAGGGTACATTTTCCTGAAGCTTTCTTTCATTTCTAGCCTGCTCCTCAGGGGTCCTTGATCCTGGTCTACAAGGTCTTGCAGCTGACCCCTTCATTGATGGCATCTTCAGCAGAGAGCAGTTATGAGGTGGGAATCCACTGGGAAAAGCAAATGCCGGCTTTTGCTGAGGTTGGTTTCTTTGTTTGTGCCATTATTGTAATACTATGTCATTATCATGGTTATCGTAATCATCAACATGGTTATCCTCAGACCACGTATTATTTCTAAATTATAAGCTTTTCTAAATCTGGAGATACATATGGAGATTTCCTGAGCCACGATACTGAAAAGAAACCCCATCTCAGAGTTTTACAAGAACATTCCAAAGGATTTTCAAATACCTCGTAAACACCCATTACTAGCTTGGATATACTGTGTCATAATTATTTAAAAAGTATGCCTGGACGCATACACCCCACTATTATGGGAGAGCATCACTTTAAAACAGGTAAGTTAAGGTCACTTGGGTCTTTCCCGTAACCAGTTTGTGGTTTATAACACTTTTTGGACCTTCCTTCTTTGACTTTAAAAATAAAATCTACCTTCTTTTTTATTAGAGCACACATTGGTCCAGAAAGATACATCTGCTTATGTTAACTGAATTATTAGCCAAAAAAACCCCCAAGCCCAAGGTATAATGGGGTCTCTCTTCATTGTGTCAGGGCTAGAATCTCTTTCAGCGGTCAAGTCTTATTGCCTGATTTACTTGCCTTAGTCCTGTGTTCCTAGGTATGGCTCTCTAACATGTAACAATAAGAGAAGAAAACACGAAAAAATATAAAGGAAAGCAAAGCTTGGTGAAACGAGTCAGAACAATCAGTTTCCATAGACTTGTGACTGCCAGCTGAAATATTTCTCTGTTCCTGGGACTGAAAGACAACTGCTGGAGAACTGTCTGAAGGCCATTAAAAGATGCTCCTGGTTATTGTGTTTGCCTTGTATTGAGTAGCTGGAGGTAGAAATGCTAAGCCTGCAGAAAAAAAAAATGGTTTTACCCTTGTTATTTGTCTCCAGCCTTCATTTGAGATCCTAAAAGAGATTCCATTTTGTCTCCAGGAATACTGTTGATTACACCAAAGACCTGTGCCTGGACAAAAGAAATTACTCTCCTCCTGTCACCCTAATTATGCAGAACTCTTAAATAAATCAAGCCAGCTTATTTCTTCCCCTAATGCTAAAGAGAGCAATGGAATAATAAAAAATAATTCCACACACAAAAGCCTGGGGATGATAGAGCTGTCTGTGGTGGAGCATGCATGTCACGCTATGCGTGGGTCTGAAGTGCCTGCAACGCACAAGCAATAAGCAAAAACAATTTCAGCACTTTAAGGAACTACGTGTCCTACAATTTGGGGTTAGCACCTAATTATGAGCTCACACACAGGACACCTGATGTCCTCCAGGCAAGTGTCGGAGCTGTATAAAAGCTCTCTGCATTGTCGTCCTCTCCACTTCTCTCGCCTTACTCGCCTTCGTGAATCGGGTAAGTCAGATTTCTCTCAAACTTTGCTAAACTTGCTGTCAAGAACTCTTGATTTTAACTTGGGACCAAGTCCTTTTCAGTTACTGCCAGGCTGCCACTGGTCTGTACATCCTTTGCTGCTGGAAATAATGTTTGGTTTCTCATTTGTTACCAGGCCCTGTTAAGAAGGGCCCCAGAAGAGGGGTATATTAAGTAGTTTGGGATTCAAAACTTGTAACATTTTAGCACTTCAAAGAATTCCTTCACTGTTTTAGGAGATAAAGAATAGCTCTTACTCATGGTTGTGTAGGGCTGCATTTAGCAGTGTTCTGCTGAGTTTATAATAGGAAAGATCAAACTTATTAAGCAGAAACCATCAACTAAGAGCAATGTGATACTATCAAAATTAGCTCATCTGGAAATATCAAAGGTACAATTGAAAAGTACATCACTGTCCGATGAAGCCAAAACTAGCCTCCAGGTTACAGTCCTAGCAAGGACAGTAACAGCAACGATGGCGGCTTCTCAGATTTATTACTGATGCACTGTTGGATTGCTTCAACATAAACATAACCTAAAGTTTGATACTCCTTTAATGTTAACATAAGTGTCCACGGTTTACAGACGGACCTCCATCCCTGCGAGATGTCTTGCTACGACCTGTGCTCCACCACCGTTGGTGGCATCTACCGTCCCCAGCCCCTCGCTGACAGCGGGAATGAGCCATGTGTCCGTCAGTGCCCTGACTCCACAACTGTGATCCAGCCACCTCCGGTCGTCGTGACCTTCCCTGGCCCCATCCTCAGCTCCTTCCCTCAGGATTCATTTGTGGGATCCTCTGGAGCACCCGTCCTTGGGGGCTACGGGGGTTCCCTGGGCTACGGGGGTTCCCTAGGCTACGGGGGTTCCCTAGGCTACGGGGGTCTGGGGAGCTATGGGTCCTCCTTGGGCTATGGCTCCCTGGGCTACCGAGGTCTGTGTGGCTATGGGGGCTCCCTGGGTTACAAGGGCCTGTATGGCTATGGTAGATCCTATGGTTCTGGCTCTTGCAGCCCTTACTCCTACTCGTACAACAGGTACAGCCGTGGCAGCTGCGGGCCCTGCTAAATCCTGCAGAAATACCCCAAGTGAGGTATAACCAACAGATGAGATGCGATGGTTTCACAGCTAAAGAGGTCTGAACCTCCACTGCTCTGCTCCAATCCACGGAGCTGTAACCCTTCAGCCCCTTCTGAATTTCTCCTCTTAACTTCTACTTTCAGTTTCTGCCCTAATGCCTCTCCCATAACATTTCCATATTGCCTGGGATAAACATGTAGCAGAGTTGCTCAAAATGGTTCCTGTTCATTCAAAACAACAGCTAAGACTCAGGAAGGAAAAAAAAAAAATCAATCATATGTGAATGTATCCCTGCCTGGATAACAGTTTCATACTTCTGGAGATTCTGAAAATGTATTCCTTCTTTCATGATCATTAAAAATTTATTGCATCAAAGTTGCTATGTTCTGGTTGTCTTTTCTCATGTGATTAGCCTTGTTATTTGCCTTAGGAAAAGTCTAATGATAGGATGAGGGGAGATGGTCTGAAGTTGCACCAGGGCAGGTTTAGGTTGGACATTGGGAACAATTCCTTCCCCTTGGGGCTGTCAGGCACTGGAAGGGGCTGCCCAGGGAAGGGGTCGAGTCCCCAGCCCTGGGGGGATTTAACAGCCGGGCAGAGGCGGTGCTGAGGGCCAGGGTTTGGGGGTGGGATGGCAGGGGTAGGGGAGCAGTTGGGCTGGGGGAGCTTAAAGGGCTTTGCCAACCTAAACAATTCTGTGATTCTAACCTGTGCAACTGTAACAGTCTAAACTATCTAGATGGGTGTCCCACTCCCCAAAATCAGGGATTTCAAATGCACAAAAGCAGTGCAAAGCCCTCAGCACAGAAGGAACTGCTGTCCTTCCCTCCCCATTTTTCTGATAAAGATTCTTGATGTTTTTGAAGAATTTGGCTTCTTGGTTACACACCCCCTGGTTACAGATTAGTAGTGGTAGAGAAACAAAACAGTAAATTACTCATTTTAAACTCCTTCCTAAAAACATTAAGCTTGAGTAAGAAATTCTGCCAGGTACATCTTTGATTCACCTCTTTGAACTTCAGGTTCTCACTCAAACACTTAAACTCTGTCCTCCGCAACAGTCTCTGCAGAAAGCTGTATTAATTTTCTGTCACATCCTTAAAGAAAGAAAGTTTCCTGGGCCATACAATGGAATTGCGTGGTAATGGCCTTTCTGTATCATCATGAAGGTGTTGCAGGGCTTTGGATGGAAAACCAGCCACTCCATACAGCTACCCCAAGGGCGAGCTCATCTATGCCAGCAAGAACAGCTGGAACAGATAGAATCCAGCTATGGTACCTTGAAAGTTTAAAAGGTGGAAAAAGTCATAACCCTGCCTACCTATCCTTGACCCCGTTGTGTTTCCCAATTCCTCCTACACAGAAAGTCCTCACAACAGAAACCCCCCTTTGCAGCAGCTCTAACTTTCAACCTCTCCCATGATGTTCCTCATCCCAAAGGTCCATTAGACACCCTACCCACCTCTGAAGATCTCTTTTCCTTGTTGCAGCTCCTCCAGTCCTCTCCCTCTCAGCAGCCCCATGCCAACACCCTTCACCCCTCTGTCCCCACCTCCCTAAATCCCTTCTGACTCAGGAGCATCCCTCCCACCTGAGGGCCTCATCTGCCACCCTTTTCCCCATAATTTGCTTTGAATCCAGCCTCAGCTGAGCCGCCAGCTCTGCTCCTGCTATGACCAGCAAACATGTTCAAGTGGCTCATTAGGGGATGGAGGTTTAGTGAGGTTTCTTTCTATACAATAATGGTTACAATAATGTCATTATTGTAACCCAGGCCAGCTGGGGAGGGAGGGTTTCTGCTCCCAAATGAGTGCAGCAAAGGGTGACTGACTTCACTGATAGCTGGGCCCTTTCAGCTACGGCTTTGAAGCCTCATCCTATGTAAGGATGTGTTTTACCCATCTACAGAGTTGTATATCTGTAGCAGAAGAAATTAAAACTAAAAGTTGATATTTTTTGATGCAGAGTAGAATCACTTTAATGAGAAATAGCCATTCACAGAAAAGCATTGCAGAATATCAAGAATATGCATCAGAGTTCAGGCAATCCCTTCCATAATTGTTGTTCTTCATCTGGACAGCGAAGTGCCATTTTATAAGGATATAAATTACTTGTTTTATCCCACCCATTATACACACAGATGGAAAAAAGCCCAAAAGACCATGAGTAGAGGGTGAAGAAATGAGGGATGTGCTGTGTGGTCCCAGCTCCACTGCAGTGGGGCAGCAGCAATTAGGACTTCACAACATCGCCGTTGGGACCACTGCTGTGGATCAAGACTGTATCTCTCAGTTGCCGGTTATTCATTATTCAGGGCATATTTCTGCAGGATTTAGCAGGGCCAGCAGCTGCCACGGTTGTACCTATTGTTCCAGTAGGAGTAAGGGCTGCAAGAGCCAGAACCATAGGATCTACCATAGCCGTACAGACCCCCCCAGCCCAGGGAGCCATAGCCCCCATAGCCGTACCGACCCCCCGGGCGCCAAAGCCCCCAGTGGCCGTACGGCCCCCCCCGGCCCGGGGAGCCGTAGCCCCCATAGCCGTACAGCCCCCCATAGCCTCCATAGACCCCAAGGACGGGTGCTCCAGAGGATCCCACAAACGAATCCTGAGGGAAGGAGCTGAGGATGGGGCCAGGGAGGGTGACGACAACCGGGGGTGGCTGGATCACAGTCGTGGAGTCAGGGCACTGACGGACACACGGCTCGTTGCAGCTGTCAGCGAGGGGCTGGGGGCGGTAGACGCCGCCGACAGAGGTGGAGCACAGGTCGTAGCAAGACATCTCGCAGGGATGGAGGCAAGCTGCAACACACACCG